TTTTCGTTTTCCTTTAAAGAAACTACGAATTTTTCAAATATTTCATGTAAGATCAAAAATTTAAACTTTGACCCCCTCCAGTTTTTACATTTGTTTGAATAAATTAATAATATTTTGTATTTTTAATTGTATCTAATAGGACTACTGTTTATACAAACTTTTAACCTGATCCCAAACATTCCAAATTATGCCCGGATCACTTGAGGTGGAGCGTCACATATGTATATATATGTCGTAGGCAACTAGAAGAATCCGGCATTAAGCTTAATTCCTAGGCAATAAGCTTACTGCCGGCAATTAGACGAATACACGACGAAATCGTTCAGATTTGTCTATTTGCCTAGGCAGTAAGCTTAATGCCCGGCAGTAAGCTTATTGCCCGATGAAGATTCGGCAATTAGACGAATCACATTAGAATCCATTTGCAGTGCACAAACGTCCTATAAAAAATTAATTAAAAACAATAATAATAATAATAATAATTTGCAAAAAAATTTAAACTATAACTATTAGACGCAATTTTTCTTACGAGTTCATTGATACCAAAAACTCATTTTTCACCAAAATGTCAGTTAACTAAGTTTTTATAGCACACGGCAGGCACTCTTATAAATATTTGTTATCATTGAGAAATATTTCTTGAGTCTAATAAATATTTTTTGACTCAAAAAGAAAAAAAATTCTTGGATGAAAAAAAATATTTCTTAGGAAAATATAAATTATTTATTTGACTCAGGAAATATTTTTTTTAATCAAAAAATATTTAATTCTGTCCAGAATTATTTAATTGATCCAAGAAATGTTTACTAGACTCAAGAAATATTTTTTTTACCCAAGAAATGTTTAATTCTGTCCAGAATGATTTATTATTATTATTATTATTATTATTATTATTATTATTATTATTGTTTTTAATTAATTTTTTATAGGACGTTTGTGCACTGCAAATGGATTCTAATGTGATTCGTCTAATTGCCGAATCTTCATCGGGCAATAAGCTTACTGCCGGGCATTAAGCTTACTGCCTAGGCAAATAGACAAATCTGAACGATTTCGTCGTGTATTCGTCTAATTGCCGGCAGTAAGCTTATTGCCTAGGAATTAAGCTTAATGCCTGATTCTTCTAGTTGCCTACGACATATATAAGAGACTTCTTTCCCTAAAATTTTTTTTTAAATTCAAAAATTGTTAAAGATACGCCATTTTGAATTTTAATATTAATTTTATAAAATTTTGAATATCTCGGAATATTGTTTAATAAAAAAATTAATTTTTAAATAAAAAATTTTAGGTATATCTCCGGCTGCTACTCTTGAAAAAATTGATTTTTAATAGATTTTCTTCAAATTTTAAGATAATGTTTCTTTGTAAATATTTAAATGTGGTAAATTATTTCAAAACTCTTTGCCATGTCAAAAAACGAGATATTGTGGTTGACATTTTTTATTTTTAACATAATAAAATAAAAAAAAATATAAAATAAAAAAAAATAATAATAATAATATTATAAATATTAATTTTTAACCGAAAATCTGCAGAACCATTTGAAATTTAGATGTTTGTAGTTAAATTTTTCTATATTATCTATATTATTATAACATACGGTTTAATAATTCTGTTGTTTCCTAGAACTGTACACGAGATACCAATTTCTGTTAATTTATTTATTTCTTCCACAAATGAGTTTAAAAAAACACACATATCAGGCTTATTTTTGCCAAACCATAGGCCAAAAAGGACAGTTTTTGAGGATCTAATATGTAATGGAGTTACATTTATTACAATTTGAATTGGCCAAATTGAGTACTGTAAACTGGGGCTATTAGGAACAAAATTCTGTTTTCGGGTGGAGTTGATGCTATCGGCGCCATTTATCGATAAATTGTGTTACTTACATACTTTTAAAAAAATTGTTGCTGCGGTGACTGGCAATACTTTTCAATGCAATAATTGTGACTATTAATTATTATTTTGTGAACAGTAGTAGCTTGTAAGTGACTTAATGTCTCTCTTTACCTAATTTGCATATCTGCTAATTTCATATAAGGATTATTGTTTATTATCCACGATGTTCTTCAAGCACTTTTAGGTTTACCTAAAATGAGTCAAAATTGTGCTAACGCAGTTTTATCTGGAATCGTCCGAAGATTCCAAATTTTCATTTCCGAAAATCGTAGCTGATTCTTTTTTCGAAAAAAAATATATATATATATGGGCAATTCTACGTGAGATTTTAGTCGACCTCTTAAAATCGGCCAAAAATATTTTTTTTCTATTCTGTATCGAAAAAACAGATACTTATTTTTTATTTTTGTTTAATTGTCCAAATTTTCGAGTTATGAATTTTCGAAATTTTGCACTTGTTATTGTAGACCTATATTCAGTAGCTTATACACGGAAAGAAAAAGTCCGTCAACCATTAATGGATTAGTATATTACTTTGAGACGGGACACTTTTTCCGTTGATGGTTACTTAACTTTACTTAACGATTGAAAACGAGTCATGGATTGATTAGAATGCCAGTATGTGACCAATTGTTTTAGATTTAATGCTGAATTGTTATCAATGGCTGTTTGAATGTTTACGAATCATTAGTGAAAGTTTGTGAAACGTTAGTTGACTCGTATTCTAAATCGGCGCTCTTCACTAGCGCATTGTTGCGCAGTGTACCGATGCGCATTTCTTCCGGTTTCTCTATAGTCCATGTGTTTTTGCTGTCTGCTATACATATCCCTATATACTATTATGTGTAATGTGAATATTTAACTTAACTAACAATTTGCAGTTGAATTGCGTCTAGAAATTGACCTCGATGAAAATATATTTTCTTTTATATTTCTCGCTAATTAAAAAGTAGTTATTAGTGCAAAATCATTTCTCACAAGTTGTGAAAAATTTTGTTATTTGGTATATAAGAACAGTTCGCTTCTAAACTTAAAATGTTATAAGTGTGCGTTTCTACGTGTAGTTATTATAAGTGCGAAAATGTGTTGGTCTAAAGCGTCTAAGAGTGTAAATAAAATATCGGAACTGTGCAACGAAAAAAATGTGTTCATTCTGTACCAAATAGTGTCTAAAATTAGGGATAATTCTGAAAGAAGTTGAATTTTTTGAATGCTTTTGATAGTCATAGAAAATTTAATAGACAGTTTTCTAAATTTTAGTGAACGAGTTTTATATATTGATGACAGTTTTCTAAATTTTAGCAAGCAACTCGTCACTGATTGTGACTCAAAGTATGTTATCCATTGAATGATTTTGTGTCCCGTCTCAAAGTAATATACTAGTCTATTAATGATTGACGGACTTTTTCTTTCCGTGTAAGTCCGAAAATATTGAGTTTAGGAAAAAGTTGTCAAAGAATGAAAGTTTAAGTTTTCTTTAAACTTTTAAGAAATGTAAACAAACAATTTTTTAAAATTTAAAAAAAAAAAAATTTTTTTTTTATAAACAAATTATTTTTTTTAACTTTGGGCCGGATTTTCTTTTATTTTTTTAAAATTTATTTATTCCTTATAATATAGAGAAGATTTTCCAAAAAATCCCGAGATGGGCCTGATGTGTTAAATAAGTTTTAAAACATTTTCAAAAATCACTTGCAAGCATCACAGCGGGATTTGTTTACAATTAACTTTTTAAAACTGTCTACATCATAGACCTTTTAATTTAATACAAAGAACACTCAAATAGATTAAAAATTATACGCTGTAGACAGTTTTAAAAAGTTAATTGTAAAAAAATCCCACTGTGATGCTTGCAAGTGATTTTTGAAAATGTTTTAAAACTCATTTAACACATCTGGCCCATTTTGGGACTTTTTGGAAAATCTTCTCTATATTATAAGGTATAAAAAAATTTTAAAAAACCGCTGCCAGCTTGTATATTTTTTTATAATTTTGGTGTTCATTTCTTGAAAACTTTGCTTCCTCATAGAGATAATAATAATAGAATTATATGAATAACTTTTTATAAATATGGTAAAAGTGATTGAATCTTGGGACAATCAATGTATTTTTAAATACCTTACAAGATAGTTATAATAGTTTAATAGTTAAACAAAAATTTTCAAACAAAAAAGTTGAGAAAATGTCATTTTCACAATTTTTGGTTTTTAAAATACCAATATTTTCGAAATTTATTGTCAAATTAATTTAAAAAATAGGTCAATCAAAGCGTTTTTTAATGCTCTACAAGTTGGTAACGATAATAAATTTTAAAGTTACTTCAACATTTTTAAACCGGTCAATATAGAAGAAAAATGTTCAATTAGGACTCAAAAGATGCGTATAAAAAACTCTACAAAATTGTGAAAAAACATGTATAGGTGTCCTAACTTTTTTTTAAAGTTATGGGCAAAAAACGTTTTTTTGCAAAATTAAAAATCCAAAAAAATTTAGTTAAACTTTATTAATCTATCTTAAAGTACTCTCATTTTATGTCCGTAGGTGAAATCTACAATTTAAAAAAAATTCAACCCAAAAGCTCTTACTGATTTCGAGATATTTATGAAAATGTGATATTTACACACACATACACATACGGACTGACATTTTTAAAAAATGTCATTTTTGAACTCCTGAGGTCAAATAACATAAAGATATGGGAGGTGAGGGAAAAAAATTCTGACTGAACTAATTGAATTGACTAGAAATATTGTGTGTGAATGTGTGCTCTGGAGAGAATTTAGAGATAAAATAAAACTAAGGATTTAATTATATTTTTGTTGAGTTTTTAACATTTATCTCTCCCTAAAAATCTCTTGCTGATTCACCACCTGAAAAATTAACATCCTTTTCTCACACTCGTTACTCCGACTTTTCATTACCACCGAAACTCTCACAAGGCAATTCGCAACAATACACTACCATAGGAAATTGTCAAATCCGCAGTTTGAGCACTGCTTAAAAACATATCAGGATTTAATTTACCATTTTTTATTAAAGAAAAATGATTTTATTTTCGCATAGCAAAAACAGTCAAATTCATTTATTTTTCTCAGGCAATACAATCTTTTTATTTGTGCTATTTTAACATAAATTAGAGTGATAATTTCATAAAAATTTTTAAGAAGGGCGCAGATAAAGTTAATAAATTTGAAGCTCATTAACAATTACAATTAACAATTTAAATGTACTTCTTAAAAAATGAATACATTTTTTATAATATTCTTAAATCCTGACTAATTGTAACGTACATAATTCTTTATTTAATTTTTAAATAAAAATTAATTCATCCGTTATTTTACTTTAATTAAGAAACAGTCTTCTTCGTCAGTGACTGACGCTCCTGAAACTCACATCGTCCATCGTATTTTGCGTTGGAGAATCCTGTGAAACATTTTTATAATTAATAATAAAAGTTAATGAGACAACTTTTGTTTTCAAATAAAATTCGGACTAAAAAAATGTCCACTAATTATTTTACAGGATGTTTATGAATATCATTATAGGGCAGTTCCATACGAAAAGCAAATGGTGGATCACCGATTTTTCTTAAAGTTTGTAACTTTTTAGTACTTGGGGTACTAAATAACTGTGCCAAACAGTTTTGCAAAAAAAAATTTTTTTTGCAAGATATTTAGATTTGAAAAATCGGAAACTGAAAAAAATGACTTTTTTTGAGAATTTTTATTTCGAAAACTATTGATTCTACAAGAAAAGTCATTTACTCAAAATTGTATAGAAAATGTCAATTTTTTATATAATATTAAAAAAAAGTTAAGAAAAATTAATTTTTTAATAATTTGTTTAAACAATAATTTTTTATTGTTAAAAAAAAGCAAAGGACATCATGGAATTTTCTAGAAAAATTATTTTTTCAAAATTTGAACCTTCCTTAATAGTGGTTAAATTTTTAAAGAAGTGATTTTTGATATTTTTGAGAAAAAAATTTTTGAAGTTTGCGCTACGAGTTTTTGTGCGTTGCGCTAACTAAGCAGCGCCTATGTCAGTGTATTTTTAAAGATGATTTGACCTTTACTGCTCGCCCCTAATACATTTATTAATTATATACGTATATATTATTATTATAAACAGTTTAACAATATATTTTTAACTTTTTTATAAACATTATTTTCCTTTTTTAACCCATTAATGGTCATAGGCACAGGAACGCATAATATAAAAAGTAACTATTGGGATCCTGGCATAGGATCATAATAATAATTTTTGACGTTAAAAATTAAAAAAAAAATTTTAAACAATTTGTTATAAACAAATGAAGAAAAATTGATTTTCATAAAAAAACTGATAGCGCCATTCGATTCGACGCAAAAAACTACTACGAGATCGTATATTACATAATTTAAAAAAAAGACATACTGTTGTAAAAATGTTATAAACAATTAGCCTGCATTTATACTGTATGAGGTAGAAGGATCATTTTTGAAGTTAAAAATTTTTTTAAACAAAACTAGTTTAATTAGGAGAGTTTTTGACGTTAAAAATTTTTTAAACAAAATTTTTACCTATAAAACGATTCTTCTACCTCATACAGTATAAATGCAGGCTAATTGTTTATATCATTTTTACAATAATATGTCTTTTTTTAAAAATTACCTATGTAATATACGTTCTCGTAGTAGTTTTTGCGTCGAATCGAATGGCGCTATCAGTTTTTTATGAAAATCAATTTTTCTTCATTTGTTTAGGGTAATGGGTACAGTGACCGACACACCCATTCAGTGAACGACACCCCCAATTAGAAATCGCAATAAATATAAAACAAAACATTGTTAATGAATATTTTAAAATATTAATATTATAAAATACAATAAATGGAAGCTATTAAAGTAGTAGCAATATTTAATTTATTTTTATTTTTAACAGCATTTTACTTTCTGTGAAGATAACCTCAAAAAGTGAATTTTGAGGTTATCTCCATAGAACTTAAAATTTTATCCAAAATATAAACGAAATTAATATTGCTGATATTTTAATAGCTTCCAAAAATTGCATTTTATAATATTAACATTTTTCAAATATACATTAATAATGATTTGTTTTATATTTATTGCAATTTGTACATGATTTTTAATTGGGGGTGTCGTTCACTGAATGGGTGTCGGTCACTGTACCCGTTACCCTATAACAAATTGTTCAAAAAGATTTTTTTTTTAATTTTTAACGTTAAAAATTATTATTAGACCATATGCCAGGATCCCAATAGTTACTTTTTAAACCTGCGTTCCTGTGCCCATGACCATTAATGGGTTAGAAAAGGAAAATAATGTTTTAAAAAAAGTTAAAAATATATTGTTAAACTGTTTATAATAATAATATATACGTGTATAATTAATAAATGTATTAGGGGCGAGCAGTAAAGGTCAAATCATCTTTAAAAATACACTGACATAGGCGCTGCTTAGTTAGCGCAACGCACAAAAACTCGTAGCGCAAACTTCAAAAATTTTTTTCTCAAAAATTTCAAAAATCACTTCTTTAAAAATTTAACCACTTATTAAGGAAGGTTTAAATTTTGAGAAAATAATTTTTCTAGAAAATTCCATGATGTCCTTTGCTCTTTTTTTAACAATAAAAAATTATTGTTTAAACAAATTATTGAAAAATTAATTTTTCTTAACTTTTTTTTAATATTATAAAAAATTGACATTTTCTCTACAATTTTGAATAAATGACTTTTTCTTGTAGAATCAATAGTTTTCGAAATAAAAATTCTCAAAAAAAGTTATTTTTTTCAGTTTCCGATTTTTCAAATCTAAATATCTTGCAAAAAAAATTTTTTTTTGCAAAACTGTTTGGCACAGTTATTTAGTACCCCAAGTACTACAAAGTTACAAACTTTAAGAAAAATCGGTGATCCACCATTTGCTTTTCGTATGGAACTGCCCTATAACCACTTTAGGAATACTGATCGTTTTTCGTATTAGTAAGGAAAAGTGCATATTACACTGGTTCACAAAATTTAGATTTTTCTTTACTACGAGGGTAAATGTTGGTGATTTTAAACGATATTAGCAGTAGATTACGAATTTTTAGGAGCCAGGCTCTAAGTAAAATGCTCCCATTACTTCTCAGTTTTAAGTAAAACTGGTTAAAAGTGTCAGAAAATATATTTTTTGTCACTTTTTAAATAAAAAAACACATTTTTTCTTTAAATACTTCAAATACTGATCAATTACGAACTCAAAGCTTTAACTTTAACCTCCAAAAGCAAAAACTTATGAAGAAATAACTTAAAATTGTCAGGATCAACTTTTTAGTACATGCGGGCTCGAAATACAAGATTCAAGAGAATCAGATCAATTTTGTTTTCTCATAGGAAGCTTTACAGTGATGTCAAATTCCGAATTTGTTAGAATCAATTATTGTTACAAATATAGCATATTTATTTCCATTTTCTTTTGAAATATAGTCTAATAATAAATAAATATTTCAAAAACTCAACTCTTTCTAAAACATCTTCTGCAGCGGTTACTTTTGATGGCCTTGCAGGTATTCCCTTTTTAGGTTCTTCTTCCATTTTATGAATCATCTTATAAACACTCGAGCTCATCAGGTGATCAAAATTTGGAAGAGCTGTCTTCTCAAATTTCTTAAAATTGACTCTGAAATTATATTTAAATTTATATACATATTATAAATTTTTACAAAAAATATAATACAGGGTAGCTAAAATGTCTTTCTTTAAAAAGCATGGTTAGAGGCATGCTTCAGGTTTCATATGAGCTAAACGCTTTTCTACAGATTTTTAAAAAAATTTTACCATATGTTTTTATTATCATTCTTGACATATCAAAATTTTATTCTTTGCTTTTTCATGTAAAGCAGGAGTAATGTATGGGGTAAAGAAGAACATTTTCATAAATACAAAGTAAGGAATTTAATTCCAAAAATTGGACAAACAGTTTATTGAACTAGGGCTTTTCGATGTTTGCTACAAAATATTATTACATTTACTAGTAAAATTTCACAGCGAAAAGAACACTATTAAATTTCAATATCTCGACCCTTAATAAATAGCTTAAGGACGTTTATCAAAAGAAATATTGAAATCCAGAAAAATAATTAATTAACATAAAAATAATTTAAATACTCTTAATAATATTATTTTCTATAAAATCAAAGGTATTAATTTTCAAGAAAAAATATTGACAATCAAAAAATTTGTTTATTTATACAATTTGCATATGATCCGAATTTTTTGACATATTAATTCTGAAGCATTTTTTAAAATTGATTCGATTTGAATGTAATATCGATTTTTTTCTTCAAAAAATAATTCTCTTCATCGTCTCTGTTCATATTTTTAAACAAACATGTCGTTTTGAAAATATGCTTATTTGTTTAAAAAAGGCAAAATTTCTTTTAAACAAATAAGAATATTTTTAAAACATCATTTTTGTTTTAACCCTTTAATGGCCGAGTTTTTTGCCGTTATTATAAATGTATAATGTTTAGTAAATTCGATTATTCTATTATTCAATATGAGAAAGAAATTTTTTTAACATGTTCCACCCCTTAAAATCACCCTTAACGTATATTACTACCCAAAAGAATTGATAATTAATCTAACCCAAGTGCGAAATGCCAAGACTGCAAAAACGGCCCATTATTGGTGCAGTAATGTCTGCCGAGAATTGGCAGTAGTTACTGGGCCATTATTGGTAACCAAAACGTCCCATTACTGGGCCAATGATGGTGCCGATGGTCAGAATTTCAAATTTTTTAAGACTGGGCCAGCTCTCGGCCCAATAACGGCACATTCATGGCAAAGTTTATCAATGTTTAATGTCAAAAGACAATTGCCAGTGATGTGCCGACCATCGGCCCAGTAATGGCTCATTATTGGCACTTTAATGGCAAAAAATTTGTATCGTTCATGGCAAATTATAATTACCAGTATTGGGGAGTAGCTTGGCTCAGTAACGGCATAATATTGGCAAAGTTGATCAATCTTTAATGGCAAAATTCAATTGCCAGTGATGTCACGAAGATCGGCCCATTAATGGCACATTAGTGGCACTTTAATGGCAAACATTTTGTATCTTTGATGGCAAATTATAATTGCCAGTATTGGGGCGTAGCTTGGCCCAATAACGGCACGTTATTGTCAAAGTTGATCAATCTTTAATAGGAAAATTCAATTGCCAGTGATGTGACGAAGATCGGCCCATTAAAGGCACATTAATGCCATTTTAATTTGGTATAATTTTTTATAAGAATTGAAATTTAAGAAACATTCAGGTATTCAATAAATTATTTATTTTGTATTTAAATAATTGAATAAGCTTGAAAAGGATTCAAATTAAAATATTTGAAACTTTGAATTTTCTATATTTTCAACTGTCAATTTTAAAGAATTAATTTTTTTGAAAAAGTTTAATTAAGTATTAATTTAAAAAAGAAGTTATTAATGTTTTCATATAATTTTACAATTAAAGAAATTCGTAAATAAATGTTACAGAAACCTTTTTTTGAGTAAAATTTTTCCTTTATTATCTAAAAATTAAGAAATTTTCAATTTCACTTTCAATTAATATTTGCAATTGACAAATAGAATTTATAAACATTTTTTCCTTCATTTTTTAAAAATCTTTGAATTTTTCTTAAAGCAATTGTAATTAAGAAATAGAAATGATGCAAATTATTTCCTTAAGAAAATTTATTGAATAAATGAATGTTTTTTAAAATTTAATTCTCATAATTCAATTTTAAGAAACATTTAGTTATTCAATAAATTATTTATTTTTGCATTTAAATAATTAAATTCTCGTAGAATTTTGTAGTAAAAATTGATTTCAAAATGGATTCTAGTCAAATTTTCAGATAATAATTAAATATTAAAAATATACCATGAATTATGATATTAAAATTTTTTTAAATTCAATCGCCAATGATGTGACAAAGATTGGCCCATTAAAGGCACATTAATGGCACTTTAATGGCAAAAATTTTGTATCTTTAATGGCAAAATATAATTGCCAGAATTGGGGCGTTGCTTGGCCCAATAATGGCACATTCACGACAAAGTTGATCAATCTTTAATGGTAAAAGACAACTGCCAGTGTTGTGACGAAGATCGGCTCATTATTGGCACTTTAATGGCAAAAAATTTGTATCTTTCATGGCAAATTATAATTGCCAGAATTGGGGCGTTGCTTGGCCCAATAATGACACATTCACGACAAAGTTGATCAATCTTTAATGGTAAAAGACAACTGCCAGTGTTGTGACGAAGATCGGCTCATTATTGGCACTTTAATGGCAAAAAATTTGTATCTTTCATGGCAAATTATAATTGCCAGAATTGGGGCGTTGCTTGGCCCAATAATGACACATTCACGACAAAGTTGATCAATCTTTAATGGTAAAAGACAACTGCCAGTGTTGTGACGAAGATCGGCTCATTATTGGCACTTTAATGGCAAAAAATTTGTATCTTTCATGGCAAATTATAATTGACAGTATTGGGGCGTAGCTTGTCCCAATAACGGCACATTCACGGCAAAGTTGATCAATCTTTAATGGCAAAATTCAATTGCCAGTGATGTGACGAAGATCGGTCCATTAATGGCTCATTGTTGGCACTTTAATGGCAAACATTTTGTATCTTTGATGGCAAAATATAATTGCCAGAATTGGGATTAGCTTGGCCCAAGAATGGCACATTAATGTCTATCATTTTGTATCTATGATGGCAAATTATAATTGCCAATATTGGGACGTAGCTCGGCCGAATAATGGCACAGTATTGGCCAGTGTAGTGTAGCTTATAAGAACCCTTTTGCTTCCTCGACTTCAAGTCAGAGTAGCAGAGTGGTCAGAGTGTTAGGCTGTGGAGCGTCAGGTTCAGGTATCGATCCCCGCGAGAGGTAAGAATTTTTCAAATATTTGTAAGTTTGCGTTTAAATTAGGGAAATAAGCCGTATAAATGTTATAAATTAATTAGTTAATTGAATAAAAAAAAATTATTTTTATTTTTTTCTAATTTTGTCAACACTGGGGGAGTAATGGCAGCCAATATTGGGCCATTAATGTCTGCTGAGATCTGGCTGCCAATAATGGGCCATTAATGTCTGCCGAGATTTGGTGCCAATATTGGGACAGTAATGTCTGCCGAGATCTGGCTGCCGACGTCCAACCGCGGTTAACACCACAAGAGTCGGCGCAAAGTCGGGCCAATATTGTCTGCCAAGTCTCGATGCCAGCTTTGCCAATACTGGGCCAGTGTTGGGCCGCGTTGGTTTTCGCACTTGGGAAGTGATAAATTAAATATTTTTAGCTCCTGTCTGCTTTATAATTATTTATACCTAAATATTCTCTGATTGTTCTAAAATAAAAAAAAATTATAAATAACCACTTGAACACCACCTTAAAGTCAAATAGCCATCCATTGCCGATAAATTATATTAATAATTACTTACTATTAAGTTTTTGTGAATATTTAAAAAAAATCTATAGATTCTAAATGCATCTAAATTATAAAAAATGTTTTCAAGTGACACAAATATGGGTAATAATGTTAAACACCCCCTTGGAACCCACCCCTATTTCATAATTATTCTTACATACTGTCAATAGTTTTGAACAATTAAAAAAATAATTTTCATAGATTCTATACGTTTCGAAAATACAAAAAAATATTTGTATGATGACTAGGTAATGCTAGTAAATGTAAACTAGCCTCTAAAAACAACCCTATGGTCAAATAACCACCCCTTTTTGATAAAAGTTTTTGTGAATGACAAAAAAAATCTATAGCTTCTAAATGCTTCTAAATAATAAAAAAAAAGGTTTCTAAATGACACAGATATGGATAATATTAATAAGCACACGCCTCGAAACCACCCCTACTGCATAAAAAGATTCAGGCGAATCTGATAAATTTTTTTTATTTTTTTGTCCAACATATTGGCCCGCCATTTTGAATTTTCGAAAACTGACATTGGATTCGTAATAAGCGACCCTGAAAACCCCCAAATAAAAAATTTTCTGCGAATTTGGTAGATTTTTAAATTTATCGTCCGCCATGTTAGATCTGCCATTTTGAATTTTTGAAATCTGACATCGGATTCGTATTCAGCGACCCCGAAAAGACCCAAGTAACAATTTTTAGACGAATCTGATAAACTTTCAATTTATCGTCCGCCATGTTGGATCCGCCATTTTGAATTTTTGAAAAAGCTAACATTGGATTCGTAAACAGCGACCCCGAAAACCCCCGAGTAACAAATTTTAGACGAATTTGGCAAATTTTTAAATTGTTTCGTTTTTTTGGGGTAGTTTTCATTTATTTTTTTTACCCTGAGGTAAAATTTGGTTATTAATTTTCTTTACAAGGTTTATAATATTTTAAAACATATGTTACTTTGAAAGCCGAAAAAAAAATTTTTTTCTTGAATTTATACCTTTTTTAAATTTTTGTCATTTATTGCGGTTTTTGAAGGGGTGTATTTCATAAAGGGTAGTATTTTGGAAAATGGCATTCATATGTATTTGTTACTCTCGCTCACCCCTTCAAAATGAGACCTTAGCGGAGTTGATCCGTTAAGTTTTAAGAAAGTTATGACTTATTGAAGTAGGTGGTACGTATGTGTACCACTGG